TGCACCTCCAGAAATGTAAAATATCTCATCCAATGCACCAAATGCCCCAATGGAAAATATGTAGGAGAGACCAAACAACAACTGTGTACCAGAATGAATGCACACCAGAAATCTATCAAAGACAAAAAACCCAGTTACCTGTCGGGGCACATTTTTCACAAGAAAACCACTATCTCTTCAATCTCTCAGTTCTGATCATCAAAGGGATTTTACAAAACACCTTTCACAGACAAGCCTACAAGCTTCACTTTATCAATCTACTGGATACAAAAAATCATGGACTAAATATAGACACTGAATTTATGACAGATAACCTGCCTAACATTTGACTCCCAGGTACCTCTCCATTATTTACCAGCTACATTCATTCCCCTCCCCACACAACCTATCTCTCACCCATTGAGTCCTCATTTACATTGTCACTGACTGCCTGTCTTGCACACATACCAGCCTCTGGCTTCTTCACTATTCATTCCATCCAGGAAGAACACACACCAACTGTAGATGCTTCCTCAGCCTGATGAAGGGTGCCTGTGCCCAAAAACTTGCAAGGAAGAATTTTTTCCAACTATTTGAATTGGTCTAATAAAAGATATCAGATTTACCCAAAGAACCTTGTCTGCCTATATCAGCAGTTCCCAACCTTGGATCATGACCTAAATGAGGGTTTTGGGGGCAATTCTGGCAGCGCTGCACACAAAGGATGAGCTGCGCCATGTGCCTAGCTCCCCTGCACCCGGGCCACCACTGCCCTCCACTCCAAGCAGCAAGTTGTGGCAAAAAAGGTTGGGAACCACTGACCTATGTCCTTAGACCAACACGGATACAACCTATACCCCTTCTGGATGGGGAATCCTTTCCCAGCTGGGGGCTTGGTGACAGATGACCCAGGAGTGGGACAACTCCCAACCAGCCCCCACTGAGTGGGAAACAGAGAGCTCCCCAGTCCTGGTGCTGCATGGTTCCCAGCTCCTGTGGGGAGCTAGGAGCCATGCAGGGACAAGGGTGAGGGGTGGGGCAGAGAGCAACCCTGTACTGGTGCTGATCAGCTCCCAGCTCCTGGGGGAGCCAGGAGCTGAGCAGTGTCAGGACCAGGGACAGAGAACTCCCCTGTCTACTTTGGCCCTCTGCTGGTGTGGCTGACAGGCAGCAAATCTGATCATGGTCAATGTCTATATAAGTGGTACCGTGCAATTGCTAATGCACAGTTAAGCTACTACCTGGGCTTACCACTCCCAGGACCTTCTGCCACCCATCTGAAGTGCAGACTTACCAGCTGGAGGCAGCTGTGTTAAGGGTGGTAAAGGAACCAAACCCCACTTTTATAACACTGTTCCTATGGGAAATTGGTACTGAGTTACAATGTTTTGACTTAAAACCCAGTTTTCAGGAACCAATTGCGTCATAAGTCTGAGGACTGCCTGTATTAGCATAGCAAATACTGGAAAAATCAAGCAGAGTATGACAAGTCCATGCTTGACTGCTAGCAATGTTTACATGAGGGAAGAATATTTGTATGAGGGGGAAACTGTGCCATTAATGAGGAATGGATATAAGGATGGCTAATCCCTAAAGAAGAGAGAATCAGATTTTTCTGCAGCTGGAAAGACATAACAAATGTTTGTTATTATCCTGCTTATAATTCTTCATCATTTCCTGGCATAACCAGACCACCAATTTGTTACTTGGACTAAGCAATTTTTGCTTCCTTCTCAGAGCAATATAGCCCTACTGCATGAGTTTGTAGGAGAGTATAATAAAAGACACAAAAATGGGCAGAATTTGGCATGTAATGGAAAATTTGAGCTGCTATCTAGAAATCAGCATCTTTACAAAGAGCATGTGATGTCTCCACAAGAGACCCTTACCATGTTATCCCCATGGTTTTTAATTTCCTATTTCAGATTACTTTTTTAATTTCTCAGCTGGTCACTCACAGACGTTAACTGTGCAAAGGTCCTGAGTGATCTACCTAGACAGTTCATACTAAAAACTTACTTGCTGGAATTTTGCTTCTAAAAAAAAAGTTCTGCTTTGATTCTAGAAACTTGTCTTGTATTATGACATTTAAATAAATGCCATGTGTACTTACAACAACTGGGCATTCCTAAAGAAGAAAGTCAAATATTTTAAAATGGAAGACAAACTTTTTCCTTGGTTGTTATAAAGTATGTTTTCCCCTTTCAATAAAAAAGCTTATTGTACAATCGGAATAAAAAGATTGTTCAATAATGAAGAACCCAGGCCACAATATTCTGATCTGGATATAGAATCCCCAAAAGTTTGTAGTAGCATTTGCATTTTACTTCTCCAGGCTCTGACCTATCCTCGTCTCATTCAAAAATCCATATGTTTGAGGCTATTCAAATTGGATTGTGTCCATCCATGTTATTTAACAGTCTCTTGTGGCAATAGGTGCAAGAGGCCATTATCAGGGAAAGGACTTCCTGCCAAAATGATGATGTTTGATAAATTATGCAGGCTGCTCATCTAAACTCAGCTTCATTAAACACTTGTGCTCTAGTTCAACCAGCTTGTCAATATGTAAGTGGACAGAATGAAAAGTGAAAACCTAACAAATTGACATGAGTGTGGAGAGCCAAGTGATCATAGACATGCATTGATTATGGAATGCGGAAATGGTTAATTGGCCACAACTTTTTCACCTGTCGTTAAGGGAATAGGTTGCTGCTGCTCTAGCCGACAAAAGATTAACTTAAAATAAGAATTAAACTTCTGTGTTGACATGTGGGAACTTAATTTGCCTAATAAATCAGTGTAAGTGTCCTTCAAAAGAGGGAATAAAGAATAGCAATAGCTATTCTAGTGAAGTCATTGCCCATATGGGCCAAAGAAAAAGTTCCAATTCCAAGGGATAGTTGAATTTCTCTTGTTTATGCCAAGTGAATAGAGAAATGTGCTCTCTAACTAAGTGTTAACCTTCTGATACTTCTGATGAAAAGACTTTAAACAAAAAATTAATCCCAAACCACTCACATACCGCATATCATTACAATACAGAATATTATTGACATAACAGCACATGGAACACTGAAAAATACTGTACTTTGTCCAATATTGCTGCTAAAGTTTGAGACTTTCTTGTTTGTTTGTTTCAAATTTTTTTAAGCAGATGCTGAATTAAATAGCATAAAATAGACTAAGCTGTGATTGCCATAATTTCAATATGGAGGTATAGCCAAAAAATCTGTAAATCATAATCAGGGATCTAGGTTTTCCATTTCCCATGGGGAAAAAAACCAGAGAAAAATATTACTTTTCCCCTTTACCCAAGGATTTAAGCATGGATTTGGGGGGTGGTTATCAGAGAATTTCTGATTTTTTTATCAGGATCCCTGGTCATAATAATAGTATCTTAGGGAGAAGGTAGGGCAGGGTGACACCTTGTAGAATAACTTGCACCTTATAGAATAACCTTGATCCAAGCATGTATATCTCAATACAAAATAGAGCTAGAAAAAGGACACACAATACACCTGTTTATACTCTATTTGACTTATGGAATGCATCTGAGTTACCACAGTACCCACTGCAGGTACTATATTGTTGGAAAAAAGTCCCATAGCAAATCACAGAGCAGAATCATGCAATATAATGCTTTTATTACCTATAATTATCATGAAGATTGGGGTCTATGTGATTAACCTCCTAAATTCAGCCTGGATACAGCTCTTTGTTGCTGGAGATGCATCTTGTCTCATCCCAGCACAGGGATAATAAAGACTCTTTTAATCCTTCTTTTTGTGTGTACATGTTGGCTAGGGAAACTGCAGCATGCAATATTATTGCAACATAAACACATTTAAACCAGAAATATTACAACAAAACCATCATCTGTCACAGAATTATTTCCAGAGAGCCCACAATTTAGGTGCACCCAGCTTTGGAAATAGCTAAATATCCACATCTCACTTACACTTCTAGATGTATGTCCAAACCGCTGATTCCATTCGACAGTTTCCCTTTAACATTTTAATACTTAAGAGCACCCATTAATAAAAGGGTATTGTAATATCTGTCTAACCCAGAGGCACCTAGCAACTAACATTTCTACAGTACTTTGAGTAGTTGCTACACAGGCTGTCATTTTCAAAGGCATGTAGAAGGGTTAGGTGTCTGATTTCCTCTGAAATTAAATCAGAGATAGGCCTCTAACTCCCTTAGGCTCTTTGGAAAAAAATCCATACATTTTTAATTCTCCCTTGATATATATTCTACGGCAAAGTAATGATTCATAAATCAAAACATTTCATTCCTAGTGTATTGGCATGATTTGTAATCCTGCTGCAGAGGTTGTCATTATGTTGAAGGATTTTATAAATCTGTTTCCTGACTTAGGTTAGAATCAATATAAAAATATTTTCAGCTTTTTAGTTCTCACTAAAAACCCAAGAAGAAAATCAGTTTCAAGGGCTTCCCTAGCTTGGGATATCTTCAGTTTAGAGTCCAAAGAAATTGACCAAGTCCATACTTCTGCAACTCTTCTAACCTTTATAGAGGTACACAAGGAATGAGCCTAACCCACTGCTTTTCCCCTCACTGTAATTATAATAAAGTATAACTAAAATTCTTAACGTTCAGGAAAAATGTTCTAATGCTAAAAGTCATGGAAATAAATTCAACCACTGTATAAGCATGTATACTCTATTTGGGTGATTATACTCTACTATGTTACTTTCTTTTCCTTAATAAATTCTACAGCGTACTAGGGTCAAAGAGTACAAAAAACTAAAAGTAAACAAGAAATCAATTAGATATCTCTGAAGTAATCCCAAAATATGACCCTAAACAGGATGGATCTCATTTATAAATCAGCCCATTTGTCCCTCACCATCTTTTTCCTATATCCTGGGAAAATGTTCTACCTGCACTACAACCTCATCTGCCATTGACTTCGAAGGAGTCTAGCTAACTCAGCATTTCCCAACTGGTGTGCTGTGGCACACTAGTGTGCCATCAGGCACATCCAGGTGTGCTGCGGCATTTTGGGCTGGGGCTACACCCCCTGACTGCTACTACTGTGGACATAGACAGATGGGGAGCATGGCTCCAGCCAGGCAGGGGCATGGCTCTAGCCCAAAATGCTATCCGGCTGGCTGTGTGCACCTTCTTCATATCAGTGTCCAGCTGGCTGTCTGCCCCACCGCTCCCCCCCCCGGGTCAGTTTCTGGCTGGCTTCAAAAATGTTGGGAAATGCTGATCTAACTCTCATATATGAAGCATTTCATTTACTTCGAATGTGTGAAGGCAAGTCAGAAATTCCATTAATTAGGTTTCATGTTGCCAGGATGAAGGTAATTTTATAGTTATTTTAATGTAGTAGTCATTTAAATCATTGGGTTGTACATAAGTGAAAATCTAAGGTAGTCTATAAAAGCAGCCTTCTGGGTGAGTGGCAGTCAGTTAATATGTACATGACTAGCTTTTGGTTCTGTTTTACTTATCCAGGGTATTGGCATACTCCACCATTAAAATGCATTCATGGTTTTGTATTCTTATAATAAAAGGAAATGTCCACATTGATAAAATCTTGGTGTTAGCTAAAACTCAGTGAAATGCAAAATATGTTTCCTCTGATAAAATTTACTATTCTGCCTAGTGTTGTAAAGATTAAAAATTAAAATATGATAATATATGATTATTTTTAAATTAAGCAAATCTAAACTATAAAAATTTAGATACCTCTGAATGCATTTCAAGGAATGTGATATCAGAAGCTATATAATTTTATTGCTGATGTTAACTCTGTGACAAACTCTGAATTACTGTTTGCACTGAATGTCAAGAATTGGCCTTGTGAATTTTAACGTATTTTTTACTTTGGACTTTGATATATGTACTTTTCTACATACTAATATAAATAAATGGAATTTTTAATGGAACAATTTAAGAGCAGTGTCATTTCAGAGCATTTAAAAATCAGGCATCAAAAAGAGACTGTGGGAGCAGGAGATTGTTTTAAGCTATAAATATTACAAGTGTCTTTACTAATTACAATAATTACAGTGATATCAAAGGGATACCCATAAATGCATGTATGTGTATGCCTAAGAGATCAAAACTAGCAAGTGTGAAAAAAGAACTGAAAGCCGCTTCTATAGGTAATAGGAAATAAGTGTATCTTCTAGGCTAGTTGAAGAAACAATCCAACTTCCAGCCTTGAACATATGCTTGGTTTACTTGGGTTTTCAAAATAATTTGATTACATATTCTTTGGCACTATGACTGGAAATAGACAAATATACGTTGCTTTTATTCTATGTCTGATATATGCAATTTCTTTGTTGTTACCCATTTAGTCTTGGGTACACTCATCCTGTACTATGGGGTGCAGTGGCAGATCAATATGGATCCAGACAATAACTCCAGACTAGTGCAAAAGGCCACACCCGATTGCTGCAATAGTACCTGGTCATTTAGAGATGGAATGAGAGGGGGTCAAAACTGGGTGGATGTGATGTTATCATATCATCTCATTGTGAATCCACAGCACACAGTATGCCACTTCTATGCTAGAAGGCAAGATCACCTTATAGACTAACTCAGGATGCTCAGCCTCAGCCCACAGGCAAACTGCAGCCCATAGAGCCATAACATCTGGCCTGTGGGGCTCCCCACAAGTCAGAAAATTTGGCAGTAGGGAAGTAGTAGCCATTAAAATGGCCACACTCCTTGCTGCAAAATTCACAAACCTCAAGCCCCATGCGGTGAGCTGGACTAGGCTGGGCTGTAACCCCTTCCCCTGTAGAACCAAACCACACCCCTCCCTCCTCCCACTGCTTCTGGATTGGGGCTGGGCTACAACCCCTTCTCTTTCTGCAGGGATGGGTTGGGGTCTGGCCAAGGCCCTTTCTTCTGCAGGGCTGGGCTACAGCACCCTTTTCCCCGTGGGGCTGGGTTGGGGCCTAGTCATGCAGGGCCAGACCACACCCCTCTCCCTCTCTGTGGGCCCAGGTTGGGCCTGGCCCCCCCTTCACCCCCACAGGGCTTGATCATGCCCCCTGCTATCCTGTTGAGCCTTGGCCACTCTACCTTTCCTGTAGGCAGGGTTGGGACCTAACCATACACCTTCCCCCTTCTGTCCTGCAGGGCAAGGCCAAACCCCATTCCTTTTCCAAGGGCTGGATAAAGCTCCTTTCCCCTGTATTGGGGCTAGCCTGCCCCCCACCACTGTCCACACAGCCAGATGGTGCTCACTATGCTCATCCATGCACCAGATCAGAAGCACCAGCCAGATCTGACCTGTGGATGAACCAGAAACTGTCAATCTGGCTCACTGGGCAAAAAGTCGACTGCTATAATGTCGAGAGAGAAAATAAACTTATGTAAGCTTGATTTGACATCATCAGATGCTGTAAAAGGACTGTCCTGTAAAAGGACACTGTTTTATAATGTCCTTTCAGAACATTTGATGAAGTCAACTCAAGTTCATATAATGTTGTGGTTTATAAGCATCTTAGTTAGTCTATAAGCTGCCTGGCAGATGTGCAGTTAAAGGCTTGATGGGATCTGTTGCACGATCCCCATAATCATGCTTCCTGCCATATCACACATGCATGGCAGGAAGTGTGATTGTTGGATTGAGCATCAGATCCCATCACACCATATTGCCCGTGGAGGGGGATCAGGATCCCAGACTCCCCCTGCATCATCAAATAGAAAGCTCCCAAGACTGAGAGATCATTAGCTGATTTCCAGGAAAACCGGAGCGCCTGATTAGCTGATTGGGCCAGTGGCAGGAAATTCAAACCACGGTCTTTAAAAGCCACGGTTTGACATAGCTCCTGGCACTCAGGATCCAGGAACAGTGGGGAGAGGAGGGATCCAGGCACATGTATGTCCCGCATGCACCTGTGCCCCCTTACCAGACCCAAGGCAGAGGCGGATGCAGTGGCAGCAGGAGCAGCAGCAGCTGATTCCCCTAAGGTAAGTGGACAGAGGGACCAGGCACAGGTGAGCCAGATCTGGAGGGGAAGCCCCCTGGATCCCTCTTAGCTGAGCTGGTACGGAGCTGAACTCCCAAGCTGCTCCACATGAACAGAGCACCCAAACAGAGCGCGCTCTATAAGAGCTTGCCAGCATTTGCGTCGGCGTTCACACTGGAGGGCAAGCAGGAAGGGCCAGAAGGGAGACTCCTACTAGGGCAGGGTGAAGGCACTGCACTAAGCTAAAAACAAGCAGCAACTCCAATGATGGTGTCGATGCGGAATGCTGTCAGGGCCCCTGCCCGGGGGGAGCAGCCTACCCGGGGCTTGCCTGAGGCCTCTACCCAGACAGAACCCAAGGGGGAGCTGGCATCCCCCCACCCTCTGGCCTGCAGGGATTGCCCAGCAAGGCCCAGGGGGGCAGGGATTGGGGACCCCCACACCTGTCCTGCCGGCACCCACCTTAGGGCCCTGGCGGCACAGGTGAGGGAGCTCCAGGAGGAGGTTAGCAGGCTGAGGGGAATCAGGGAGGTGGAGGAAGAAATTGTTGGCTATTTCCTTTCCCTGCAGGGCCATACAGCCAAGGAAGAAGCACCTCGGGAAGTGCCCTCCACTGCAGAGTGGCAGATGGTCACCTCCAGAACCAGGGCTGCTCATAACCCAGCAGTACCAGTTCCTCCAGTCTGGCTGGAGAATGGGTACAAGGCCCTGGCAACCCTGGAAGAGAATGAGGGAGAGGAGGCAACTGGAAAGGAGGCAACTCCACACTCTCCATGCTCCGAACAGGTTGAAGGATCTTAGCAGTCCCGGAGGAGAAAGCATTGAGTGATTGTCATAGGCGACTCCCTCCTGAGAGGTACAGAGGGCCCCATCTGTCACCAGGACCCCTCAACATGCGAGGTCTATGGCCTACCTGGAGCAAAGATTCATGATGTAATGGGGATGATCCAGGCCATAATCCAGCCCACCGATTACTACCCCATGGTCCTAATCCATGTGGGCACTAATGATGCGGCCAGGAGAAGCCCTGATCACCTGATGGTGGACTATCACGCTCTGAGGGGCACGCTGAAGGAGATAGGTGCACAGGTGGTATTCTCTTCTGTTCTACCAGTGAGTGGACATGGTAGACAGCATGAAACATGCATCACAGAGACCAACTGGCGGCTTTGGGAATGGTGTCTTGAGGCGGGCTTTGGCTTCCTTGACAACAACCTGCACATCACGACGAGAGACATGCTTGGGTGGGATGGGCTCCACCTTTCCCCTAAAGGTAAGCATGTGTTCTCTTCTAGGTTGGTGGATCTCCTCCGGAGGGCTTTAAACTAGGCTTGTCAGGGGAAGGGGAAGGGGAAGATGAGGGAGGAGGAAGCCTTGGACCGCTAAACCAAGCAGCACTCACAAGTACAGCCCAGCCTAGACCAATGAGCGGAACATATACACAGGTAAGCAACAGGGGCCAGGGCAATGCTGTGATTAGGGGGCCAGTGCACACATCCACAGGAGGCCTCAAATTTCTCTACACAAATGCTTGTAGTATGGGAAACAAGCAGGAGGAACTTACCCTCCTGCTAGCTGACACCAACCCAGACATAGTGGGGCTCAGTGAAATGTGGTGGGACCCAACACATGACTGGGTGGTGAATATCAAGGGCTATAGGCTGTACAGGAGGGACAGGACAGTGAGGAAAGGTGGGGGTGTGGCATTCTACATTAAGGAGGAATACACATCCTCATCAGGTAGCACAGAGTCAGAGGAGGAGCACACGGAAGTGCTCTGGGTTAGAATACAAGGCAGTCAAAGGGAAAAACTTAATGGTGGGGCTCTACTACACACTACCAGACCAAGGGGAAGAGCTAGACCAGGATTCTTAAGTCAGCTCAGGAGGTAGTTAAGTCAAAAGATGTGGGCATCATGGCTGACCTGAACTTTCCAGACATCTGCTGGGAAGAGCAGTCAGCCAGGTCTGACTTCTTATGTAGGTTCCTAGCCCAAATATAGGACCTCCATCTAACCCAGGAGGTGCACAGCCCCACGAGGGGAGATGCCTTGTTGGACCTGGTGCTGGCCACTGATGATGACCTGGTGAGGAGGCTGTGGATGCTCAACCACCTGGGTGACAGTGATCATTGCCTGCTGGAATTCACCATCCAGCGCAAGGTG